CGCACCAGCAGTTCAAATGCGCTCAGCGCGCTGTGAATTGATTTCGGTCGCTAAATAGTAATGAACACGCGTCTGCGAATTTTGCGAGTCGAGGAAAGGCAAGGGTGTGGCTAGATCCATTGGTTTCCGCTCTTTATTGATCTGTTGTCTGCGTATGGTATGACGACACATTCTTTAAATAAACTTCCAGACGCTGCATTTTGTCTCGCATTTATGGTAATTGTATCATTTTACCTGTCGCGCATCAGACATGGGTCCGTTGACAGAAAAAAAAATTTTCTTGCAGACATTTGACAGAAATAACAGTGAAATAACGAGTTACTCATACGTAGTGCGTAGTACGGCAGCCATTTTAGATGCCACAAGAAAGAATATTTTTTATCTCGAAATTTAGCGAAATAGTTCTCGTAATCGAATAGTTTCTCGCTGATTTACGAATTAGTTTTCGCGTAATTTACGAAATACTATCTCGTAGTTTACGAAATAGTCACACACGAAAAACGACCCGTGGATCACAACCGGGACCCCGCGGGGGGAGGGGGGGGTACCTTGATGGGCAGCCGTGTCCGTCGACACCAAACAGCTCTCCATAGTGCCCAGCCAATGCCGCATACGCAGAATCACTGCTTGTTGTATGGATATGCTTGTTGTCTGTTAAACTTCAACCACATGATCATTCCGTGAGAAGCCGTTGTATACGGTATCATGCAAATTACCCCCCGGACAATTCCACCCCCCTGGACAATTAGCCCCCCCGGCCAATTACCCCCCGGCATTTACCCCCCCCGGACTTCACTCCCGGACACATTACCCCGCCGGACATTTTACCCCCGGGACAGATTTACCCCCCGGACATTTAGAGGAGGAGATAGAGGACGACAGAGAAGGTACGTTGAGGAGGGGGAGCAGGAGGAGGTAGAGAGTGCAGGGTGGTGCGTTGAGGGAGGAGGAAGGAGGAGGAGGGGAGAATGTGATGGAGGAGGAGGTAGGCGCCCTCATCTACTCTCCTCCCTCCTCCACCTCCTCTCTTCCTTCCTCCTCCTCCACCTTCTCCCCCTTTCTCCTCTCACCCCTTCTCCCACCTTCCTCCACTCCTCTCTTCTCCGCACCTTCCTCTCCTCTCCTCCCCTCCTCTTCCTCCTCCTACATCTCCTCTCTCTTCCTCCACCACCTTCTCCCTCTTCCTCCCCACCTGCCCCTCCGCTACCTTCTCCTCCCTCCACCTTCTCCCTCTCCTCCTCCACCGTTTTCTCCCCAGGTTCTCCCCCTCCTTCCTCGCCATCTCCTCTCCTATCCTGCCCACCTCCACCACCTTTCTCCCCTCTTCCTCCACACACCTTTTCGCACCTTTCTCCCCTCCTCCTCCACACTTCTTCCCCCTCTCCTCCTCCACCACCTTTCTCCTCACGTTCTTTTCCCTCCTCCTCCACCTTCCTTTCCTCTCCTCCTCCTCCTCCTCCTCCAGCCTCGGTGCTCCTCCTCTTCTCCACCACTCTTCTCTCCACGTTCGGCACCTCCTCCTCCTCCTCCTCCTCCACCTCCTTCCTCCTTCCTCTCTTCCTTCTCCTCCATCTCTCTCCTCCTCCTCCTCCTCTCATCCTCCACCACACCTCCGCCCACTTCATCCCCTCTTCCTCCTCTACGACCTCTTCCTTCCATCGCTCGACCTCTCCCTTGTATCACTGTTCAACAATGAATTAATAAAACAACAGAGGTGAGTAATATGTCGGGTTTGGTTGATGTCCCGGGGGTGATTCGGTCCGGGGGTAAATTTCCGGGGGGTGATTGTCCGGGGGGTAAAGCGGGGTAGTAATTTGTCCGGGTAATGCATGGGGTGATTGTCCGGGCGTATTTGTTTCGTAGAACCTCTATACGAACCGTTTATTGCAGAGTCAAATGGCTTTAATTTATCAATTACGAATCAAAATGGACACACAAAATGTGGCACCCCGTTGTGAAATATTGTCTCGACGATCCTGCCATTGGACCGCTGGAACGCCGACTGGATCAGGAATCTTCAATAGGTTATCCTATTCTTCCAAGCGAAACGTACCCTGGCTGTATACCAATCTAAGATGCATCCACCCTATAATCATGCGAAGTCCCAACTTCCCCTAAACAAGACTTCAAATGAACAGCAAGATCTAACAAATCAGGTTTGAATTCCTTGCCGAAATGTCCATGGGACGTAGTCTTCGGAGTAATGTAGGTTTGCTGAAGAAATATCATGCCTGGTGCTAAATTGCAAAGGGATTCATTTCGTGCTAAGCCCTAGGCGAAATTAGGAAGATGGACTAACTGCTTCGCTGCATCGCAACAAAACGACGGTAATCCAAGGAGGCCGGCACTGCAAGATGACTTCGCATTGCATGAACTGCCCTTATTCAAGAACTATTTCCGTAATTACATATACTATTTCGAATTCGATATACTATTTGGTCTTAACGAGAAACTTAGTTCGTAATTACGAGGAACTTTTCGTAATTACGAGAAAATATTTCGTAATTAACGAGTACATTTCGTAGTTTCGAAATAAAAATCATTATTTTTTGTGGACATTAAATGCTGCTAGTACGGCGGCCGCGTTGCGACATTGTGTGGAAAATTGTACGTGCGACAGTGTCGCACGGTGGGTATAGGATTGAGAAACGTCTGTGGGAAGAGTGGGCCGTGTAAATAAATAAATATATATATATATATAATTATTAATATATATATATATATTATATAATATAATATATATATTGAGAGGAGAGAGAGTGTACTACATGTCTTCGATACGCGAAGCGAGAGGAGAGACAGAGAAAGCGAAAGAGAGAAGAGAAAGCGAGAGGAGAAAGCGAGAAAGCGAAGGTAGAGAGAGAGAGAGAGAGCGAAGAACGAGAGCGAGTAACGAAGGAGAGAGAGAGAGAGAAAGGAGGGAGAGGCGAGAAAGCGAAGAGAGAGACGAGAGAGAAGCGAACGAAAGGAAGAGAGAACGCGAAAAAAGAGAGAGGAGAAAGCAGAGTAGGGTGGAGGAGAGCGAGAGAGAGAGAGAGAGAGAGAGAGAGAGAAAGCGAGAGGAGAGAGCGAGAAAGCGAAAGAGAGAGAGAGAGAGGGGGGGGGGGGTAGTGCTCGATCGGAATGTCTCTTGCTCGGTAATGTCGTTGTCACTCAAGCGATGATGCATTATTTATTCGGTTGTTCATTTAAATAATTAAATACACTCTATTGCGTTATCGCCACCATAGCTAGAACTATATGCTAGCCGTCGGCATGTGCATTAGTAGACTATTTGCAGTCTATATATGTACTTATTAGCTCTCGTGATATGGTACACTATTATACTGTTTAAACGTGTTGTTGTTGTTGTTACTGCTGTTGATCGCAAAGTTACGCTTTGCGCTTATTACTTGTTAACTAACACTTTTAATTAGGAACTATTTTTTTTATTGCACTGACGGTGAGGAGCTTGCAAGCTCATGTTGATATAATAATTATCTTTTACCAATGTACCGCCTTTATATTAACGTTATATATTTTACAAGTTAATATAAATAAATTTACGCTCACACGCGTCATCGCCTTGCTTTAATATTTCTTGTTGTCTCTCTCATCATTAGTTTAGCACAGGCGTTGACGGACCAGAGGAGATGGAACTGGAGATCACTTGTGAGGGAAGCGCCGACAACAGCACGACATGTAATCAACTTCAGGTAAGCAATCGTGTCTCCAAGCAGCTTTGTAGGTTCTAAAGCTGGCGTACGCGGATTTTCCTATCGGGGGACAATAATTATGGTCACGCATCATGTGACAGCTAGTGTATAGCAGCCTGTACGCGACAGTAAAACGCACTTCCCGACTTTATTCGAACGCAATATGGTGACGATATTTATAGCTATCCGAGTTCCTCAACATTTTTTTCAATTTTCATAACACGGTTTATGAAACCTCTGATTTACAGGAAAAAATTGGAAAAATAAATTGGATGTCAACAATTTAGTCTTTATTGCTACTGAAATATCAAAGCAACTATATTTGCTGATGAAAATAAATTACCCTGCTATGCTACGATTCGGCGATGATAGAAGGAGATTCTAAAGACATCACGGTTGAATTTTGTATCGTATGTAACGATCGAGAGTGACTCTTATATAAGCAGTTAAAACAAGCACATGTTTGAAATCGTATCATTTTCGTTATATGCGTCTCTTGTTCATGCTTTTTATTTTCGCACCACCGTAAGTGAAGAGCACTTTCGTAAGCCTAGTTGTAACAAGATAAAAAGCACAAGGCGAATCGCATTGCTGTGTATACGTAGAGAAAACGAGACAATATTTACTAGTGTCAGAATAACCGTCAAAAATTACGCTCCAGTAACTAAATCCCTGTGAGGTTAACTATGTCCGTGGTGGCTTGGTTTCCATGTGTGACAGTGTGTTGGACCTTGTGACTGGGACGTCCTGACCGTGCGAGAATGCTCAAACAAATGCGTAAGTTTTATCACTCGATTTATATCTTTTTTATACGACCCTCTCTCTATACATAAGCGCCGAATATCGTCAAGCATATCGTGTTACTACCTGCAGCGCTTCGGCGCTCAAAAGCTCTTTATTCTTTTTCACATATACCTTTCATGTATATACAGTAGTGTAATATATACGAAAACGGACAAGCATATGACACTATAATAACAGGCGTGGATAATAATCTCTATTATCCACTCCTGATAATAACAAGCTAATAGTACCTCTGACTTATTACGTAGGTATTATTAGCTTTTGACAGTAGCCATAGTTACAGCTATACTAGTCACACTCAAAGTGATATATTCGGGTTATAAGTGATGCAGTCGGGCTAGGCATAACTATATGTCATCAAGAGATTATTTTTCTAATTTTGTATTAATATGACATTATCTTATGCTATCGCCACTATAGCCATACTGTTGCTTCATCACTTCTATTAGACACAATACGTTAAGAGTTTAGGTCACCTAACTATCGATTATTTTCCAGTTTGTATGTTTCGTCTAGGCTAGATAGAATGCAGCAATTTTTATCTCTCCTAGTACTGGTAGGATTACGGTGCACTAATTGCAATCTTGCGGGGACAGACACCTATCAGTCGGCACGGGTATTATGTGGATTTGATGTCATTACTGTGTCGGGAGTAATTCGTCACGGAGCGGTGACAAACAACGTGAAAATCATTGCATGACGTCACAAACGCGTTACACGCCAGTGTTTTGTCAGGAGTAACGCCCACTTCACGCGACATATTTCGTTAATAATTTGAATATCTTATATTCAATGTACACGTGACGTGTCAACGATTTTACGTAACCGTATGATTACCACGTAACAAGGGGATTACGGGGATAAGGGTAAAACAATCTTGACGTCATCATTGATTTTTCACGCAGAACGAATCCGCGCCATGTATGGAAAGTTGTATGCGACTGAGTGATCTCAGGGAGAGCTTCACCGATCATCAGGGTAAGTGCAATTATTGAATTTTCCCGATGCAGAGATTTGGAGCGAATTATATGTGTTGATTGAAAAATCGTGTATTTTCTCACAGTAACTACTCAGGCGCATCATGTGCGCGAATTGTTTCCACTATAACGGTTGGATTATTGTACGCGTACGATCATAACGAACCGGAAAAAAACGATGAAGTTCTGCACGTGTCAGTAATATAATATATATATATATATATATATAATATTATATAAATATAATATAATATTATATTAGTTCATAACACAACCATGTCCTGCGGGCCACGCGTAGCAGAACGTGCAACATTATATTCTGAACACGTTTTCACCCATCGCATATGTTTCCCCGCCGCGCCGCTACTTTGGAACGCACACCTATATTATTATCAAGAAGGAATATGATACTAATATATGATCATCTTAGCGTAATCGGGGGTTAATACTTGCAAATTTGTCATGTACGTGATCCATGGTGGTTTTTTGGGTATACTCGTAATCAGGGGCTCCGAGAAATATCAGAACGGTTGAGAAAATGTAAAAACGTTTAATAAAAACACGTGAAATCCTCGATTTAATATAAGCTATCGCCTTTCTAAGAAATTCGCCTATTTCAATCACGTCTTAATTGAAGTATATAGCCTACAGGCTGCACCGTTCATTACTGAACAGATTATCACGTTTCGTAACAGCTGCGCGATGACATGACGTTTTACGACTCGATGACATACTATCAAGAGCGTATTAAGAAGTATCCTTCTTTATACGCTCTTGATACATACTATTTCAGCTCCTTGGCTTTCATATCAATTCACGTACACGCACACGAACGCAAGTACGCACGGTGTCGTCTGCGCGCGTGAGAGTACTATTAAATGCCTGTGGCCTTTGGGTAGGCTAACACGCTATATGTGCTTGATCGCAACGAAGCTATTTAGCTTCTGTTTGAAAACGGCGACGTCGTGGTTGAGGAAGGATTAAAAAAAACACGACGCGACGGCAATTATGGAACAGAAATGTGCGACGTCGGACATTTGAATCGTGCAGAGCCGCACGTAGCGGGATAACAATTTTGGAACACCAGATATTATGGTTATGTTTTCGTTTCTTCGTGCAGAGCCGGCGAAAAGTCGCAGCTCGTTGTTACAGACGCCACCGGAACTCGTCTGCCGGGACACGGCGGATTCCGGCGACGGTGGTGCCCTCTCTACGATATTCATCAAATGGAACGTCGAACATAGCAAGGATGGAGTCGCCTCTAAACACGTGGTTGTGTTTGTTGTGGAAATACGCTCACACTCCGAGTGGATTTCTTTCGGAAAGGCAAGAGTTTTTAGAAATCACTCTCAACAATTAGTAACAATATTAATTGTGGTAACAACATTCATGGTAACAATATTCAAGAAAATATAGAAAAGCGTATGGAAGCAAATTAAATTCAGTCATCTATATAATTATAATGCCCTGACGCATGGAAACGTTTGAAATTGCTTTCATATATACATATATATATATATATATATATATATATATATATA